ATCAAATTACGGGCTGCGCCCGTAAATAATCGAAGAACGTCGTCGGCGCCGTCTTCTTCTCCGCCGTCGTCGTCGTCATCGCCTTCGCCGCCGTTTCGTCCCGCCGTCGTCGCCGCCGCCGTCGCTGTCAACGTCGCCGCCGTCATCGTCGTCGTTCTCGCCGCCGCCGTGGTCTGCGCCGCCTCCACCGGGGGTTGTAGACGGTACCCCTGGCCTTGGCTATAGCTTGTCGCTCCATTCTTCAGGGCCCGCTGGGCTTCGTGACGTGTGCTCTGGAGGTCATGGGCGCCGCCTTGGGCCAGGTACGGCCCTGGCAGCACCCGATCGCCATCGTCGTCGTCGTCGTTCCCCGTGGGCAGGAAGACATACACATCGATCCCGTACCCAGGATCGACCTGGCCAGGTTCGGTGTAGGTATGCTGTGAGGTCAGTTCTGACGTGCAACAAGTTCAAGTCTGCCTGACCGATCTAAGTTAAAGTCGGGCCTGTCCCTCTACAGGGCGAATGTTCAATCATAATTTTCAAACAGTCTGGGGACTATGTATCGACTGTTTTGAATCCTTTCTTTGATGTTTATCATTTTTCGTCTCAAAATCCGCCTCTAGGAGGACATGCACGACGTAAAGCGAGATCGCTGCAGCAGCTGGAACCTGCCGACGCCGCCCTCGCAGCCGTCGCCCCCTTCCCCCAGCGCAGGGGGGGGCGGCACGCGAGGGACGACGACGAGGACGACAACGAGGACGACGACGGCTACGACGACGACGACGACGACGGCGACGACGACGACGACCTCGGCGGCGCGACGACGCCGACGACGACGACGACGCCGACGACGACGACGACGACGACGACGACGAGGACGACGACGAAGACGTCGACGACGACGACGACGACGACGACGACGACGACGACGACGACGACGACGACGACGACGCCGCGCGCTCCCCCAGTCGGCTCCGCGGCGCAGCCGGGCTCCTCTGCGGCGAGCCGGGGCTCCCCCGGCGCCTCCGTGGCCCGGGCCTCGGCGGCGCTGCGCGCCCGTGTGGTTCACCGACCGCGTTCCACCGCTCGCAAAGTGTCTGCTATATCTTATGGAACAAAATCCTTGGGAGGGTTGTCCAAGGGGGGTTGTCCGGCGGGGTTGTCCGGATCCCCGCTGGGTTGTCCGAGGGGTTGTCCGGGATCCGTGGTCTTGTCTTAGTGCAGCAGCACTGCGCAGGTAAACGCACTCACCTGGAAAACCATGATCCAGCGGACGAGGCGTTCTGGTCCGTTTCGCTTGAGAAATCCCCAGCGGACGAGTACGTGCAAACGTCCAACAAAAAAACAGCTGTGTGCCTCGATGTGGTACATCGTAAATCTTCCGCGGCGGATCCAGGACATGAGCGAGCAGTTACTCTGCGAGCAGCGGAACGCGCTTGTCCAGTGGCGGCGTGTGTCGGGGGCCGCGTAATGCGGCGGGCGACCAACACACACTTCATCGGATTAGTTTGGGCCTGCCCCTCTTCAAGAGGAAGATCCAGGACTAGTCAAAGAATGGTCTGGAGGCGATCTGTCCACATTTGTCTTGCTGTGTTTGAGTACTTGCTCGATTTTGATACGTCTTGCAAAATCCGCCTGTTGGAGGACATGCCCGACCTGAGCGTAATGTGACTGAGTTCGGAGGGAGGAGGATTGGCAGTGGGTATTCGAAGAAGAAAAACACCATGACCATAAACTTTTGGCACTCCGCGCGGATTTCTTCGATCCGCGCTAGGGGCCCCACCTCTGGCGCCGCCCCTGACGCGCTCCGCGCGCCAGGGAGGGGGGTCCAGCGCAGGTACAAAAAATCCGCGCGGAGCGCCAACAGTTTATGTTCATGTCTCGTTTTGTTCCTCTACAAACACCCCATAACAGGGTCGGCGGGAGGAGGATGTGCAGTGGGTATGGGAACGAGTTGTCGAACCTTTGGGGAGGCTCCCGTTGGAGCGCGGACCCCCGTCCGACAACATGCACCCACAGGCCCCCTTCGCCCCCCTCTAGGGGTGCGTGTGTGTGTGTGTGTGTTTGTGTGTGTGTGTGTGTGTGTGTGTTGGCGGCTCGTCATAGAGTGGGTTCCTCTGTAGACGCATGGGGCGTTGGTGGATTTGCCTCCTCCCTCCGTTATCCTCGTGCATCGTGCCATCGTGCCTCCTCCTCCTCCTCCTTCTCCTCCGTCACCGTCCCTTCTCCTTTTTGGTCGTCGTCCGGCACGAAAGGGGGGCGAATAACATGAGGGGAGTGGGGGAAGGACGCTCGTCTTACACCCACAGAGGCCTCAGAGGGGGCCCCCTGGAGCCCAACCGTGGCACGAGAGGTGCACGTGGCTCACGCGTCTTCCCCCCCCCCATGCTCCGCCCCCCCAATCCCAGCCATGCGATGTCCTGATATGTTCCATACGGGGTCCCTGGAAGTCCCGACCCTTTCCCCAGGACCGCTTTTTCATCCTGCGTGGTTCCTTGACGGTCCCGAGACTCAGCGAAGGCCCCCCGTGACCGAAAATGGCCAAACGTTTCCCGCCCTGATTTTCTCACGACGCGACCATGTCTGGTTCAGCAACGCCCAAGGACGTCGCCCTGTTCGATGCTTTCGGATGTTCGAGGTTGGAGGCTCAACCGTCGCTGAGGGTCACTGTTCTATGCCTCCAGGGTTAAGTCGGGCGTGCCCCTCTACAGGAGCAGTGTTCAAAATAATAATTGTAAAAATCATCTGGGGACGGTTTTCTCAGTTCTTGACTATTTTGGAGCATGTTTTGGCTCTACTCATGTTTTCTTCCCAAATCCGCCTGTAGGAGCACATGCCCGACCTAACTCTAGGGGTCCTCCCTGGGCTTTGATGGGCCTGTTTTCCACCACCACCACCGCCATAAGTCAGAGGGGGGAGGGCGTCTTCCTCCCCCTCTTCTTCTTCCTCCTCCTCATCCTCCACCTCCTCCCCCCCTCCAAATCATGGTGGTGGTGGTGGTAAACAGGCCATCAGTGTCACCACCTGGTTTGAGGGCTCGTGCGGTTTTTCGAGGGCGTCCCGAACGCTGGTCGGTCCAGGCGTCAAAGGCCCGGCGGGGGATTCCAAGTCAGCTCCTGACATCTCACCACCTGGTTTTGGGGTCCCAAAGGTGGTCCTGCGGGAGGGCTTATGAAGACTAAGGCCCGTTTCCCTCAGGTTCCATCTGCTTCTTGCCAGCACGGTGGCATCCGTCCCTTCATTCTGTGGAGTGTCCGGCCGGGACAGCAAAGTGGATGATACACGTATACGTAGGACCGTCCCGTCAGGTGATGGGGAGTTGTTTGGGGGGATGGAGCTTTCGGTCTGGCATTGGCGTCGGATCGGGTTCGAGATCTACCTATCCCACGATCACGATATCCATCGATATTTCTACTTCTTGGTCTCACTGTCTATCCGTCGACCTCGCTGTCAACATGTAGTAGCATGGCAATCAGCCGCATCACCTGCCGATATCTCATCTCACAGTTTGTCCATTCACACCACCATCACTATAATCAACTCGCATAGTAGGGATGGGCACCCTTCCCAAGGATACCCTCGCATCCTTGCCTCCTCGGTCCATCCTCGGCCACGTTCGAAGGGCCCCGCCCTGCTCGAGAATCCTCGAAGTGGGCGTCCAAGGCCCTTTGCATCCTTATCGCGCATCCTTCCTAAGCGGGTTGACTGTGTGTATAGTTTATACATATGTATATATGTATATATATACATAGATACAGGTGTATACGTATGTGTAATTATCTGTCGATGGATGGGGCAACCACGGGACAACCACGGGGCAGTGCAGAGGGCTTCACACTGCAGCGAAAGGAGCGCAAGAGTCAGCAAAAAGTTCAGACATCCACTGGGGCGCCTGCTTTCGCACGCGCGCGGCCTCAGAGGTCCCGACGGGGCAGCTTCTCGATCAAAGCCTTTTGTTCCTCGGCTCCTTCGAAGCTCCTTGGGAGCTCCTGCGACGGTCCTGTCTGCATCCTTTCCAGCGTCCATGCAAGACGATTGTGTTTTATCCAGTGATTTCCCGATCGCCCCCCCCTCCCATGGAGTAGATCTTGGCTATTTTTGGCGCGTGTTTCAGGCGGGTGGAGTCTCCCCCACAGGACGCACAGTTGCAAACAGTCGCATTGAGCAGAGGTCAGGAGCAAGACACCCCCCCCCCTTCCGCCCAATATCGAAACGCCGAACAAGAGAACGTTCGCAAGCGTCTCCCACTAGCGTTTGACGCGCCTGAGATTGCGCAGCTATCCGGGTTTGGGAAGCCACAAGTTCTCGGATAGGTCTCTGAGACCCGAGAGCGTTCGAGGGTTTCAGATTTGTGGGGCCCCAAACCTGGATAGCGGAGCAGTCCAAAGCGTGTGAAACGCCTATGGGCGACGCTTGCAAGGACAGATGGCTTCGCGCAGCCCGATAAAGTGCCCACGAGGCCGACATCGAGGACAATACCGCCATTGGAACAATCATATCGCCAGATATCTGGACACTAACATCCTCGCGTGGTGCAAAAGGCACGGCTGAATCTGTTGTGAATTTGTTGCCCCTGGGGGCCTTCGGCGAACCCAGGTTGGGATGCAACTCCTGGGAGATGAAATGCAGCATCGGTGCTTGTATGTCCGTGGTGGACGTCTGGCCTGATCCAGACTAATCCCGTCGAGTCTGGCTCAGTCCTGCGTTATTGGGCCCAATCCCCCGTCTCATCCACAATGCTTCCTGATCGAGCTTGCTAGCGCCCAACCTTTCTTGCGACGACCGTCCTGAACGGCTCAGGACGAAAAGCCGGTCCTGGGAACCAGGTCGAGATCTCTGGGGGTCGGGAGCGGCAAAGAGGGGGGTGATGACTAGGGGGGGGGGATATCATGGCGGGGGCCACGATATTTCCCCAGATTCCATGGCGCCTCTTCTCATTTCACTACGTCCCTGACAGGCCTCCGCTCATGATTTGCACCCCCCCCCTCTTGGACACCCCCCTCTTGGCCGCTCCCGAGGGGGGAGCCCTCTGGTGAAGGATGCGCGACGCCGGAGGTCAGGGGCCCGTTGCCCCCCCCCCCCCCTCTCCTCGGGGCGCGCGGAGCGCTCCAGGGGCGACGCCCGGAGGCGCCGACCGGGGGGCCATCGCCGATCCGAGAAATCCGCCTGGACGCTCGGAGAAGCCCGCAAGTTTTGAAGTTTCAGTGATTCATCGCCCGTGATGAGGGGTCACAGGCGCCACTGGTTTTCAATGGAGGGCTCGCTTGCGTGGTTGTTCATGGAGTTGGGGCTCTCGCGCGCGCCGCGGAGAGAAAAAAAACGAAAGCAGGAAGTTTGTAAAGCCCCGACCCTTTCCCGAGGTTTGCGTCGGGCCCGTCCTTCTACAGGGGGGACATCACAAGAACAGGTTTCACAGAATACCACGGGGACGCTGCTCTCGCAGTTTTTTTGACCCTTGGGGAATATGTTTCAGATTGTTCTGACAAAAGAATAGTTATATATATATATATACCCATCGGTCGTTGAAAGTAGGTGTTCTTGGATTCCCAGATTCCAATCTACTTTGAGCGCCTTCCTACTTCAAGAGTCGAATGGGTTTCCCTCTTCCCTCCTCTTCAGGAGGCGGGCGGAAACCCAATCTATTTCCAACGCCTTCCTACTTCATGTTTCTACCTACTTCTTCCGACCGATGGGTATATATATGCATGTATATATATATATATATGTATGTATCGTTCGACATCGGCCCGTAGGGGTACAGGCGCGAGCCCTTCCCTCCGGGCCGGCTCCGGGCCCGGGGTCGTTTTCCTGGGCCGGGCCGTGGCCCCCACAGGGGGGCCGAGAGCGGCCACAGCAGACGTCCGCCGCGCTCCCCTTCGGACGCCCCAGAGGCGGCGCTCTAGGAGGAGGGGGAGGAGGAGGAGGAGGAGGAGGAGGAGGAGGAGGAGGAGGAGAGGAGGAGGAGGAGGAGGGAGAGGAGGAGGAGGGAGAGGAGGAGGGAGAAGAGGAGGGAGGGAGAAGAGGAGGGAGGGAGGGTTCGGGCGCAAGGACGCGCGTGTCCTCGGCATGTTTGCCGCTCGTGGCAAAGTTGTCATAGGCAAGGGGGGGCCACGACCGCTGCTCCGAAGGCCGTTCGCCTTCCCGTGGCAACGGGAGGGAGGAGAGTGTCCACAGCGAAACGGGGTGCCAGGCTTTCTGGATTCGTTCTAAAACCCCCGGATATGATTCAAGACCAGGTTTTCACAGACGCGCGTTACCATCGGCGGGCCGTTTGTGAATCCCAGGACCTTGGGAGGGTCGGGGACGACGTCGGCGACTGGTGTGGTGTAGACTTCTTCCTGGTGCTCCTGGGGGGGTACACCGGGACATGTGTACGCTCGGATGTCGTACGCGCCAGGGTCCGCCATCCTGTCGTCAAGCTCCAGGGCAGGGCTGGAAAAGCGTGGGTGTAACTATAGAGTTCGGTTCCTTGTTTCTTTCAAGACTCGAGCATGTCTGGGAATGTTTTTCGGGACCGCAAGGAGGGTGGGGGGCACAGGGGGGGGGGAGTCCGGTCCGCTGGCGCAGCGAACCGCAGAAAGCCTGTGCAAAACGAGGTCTCCGGCCGCCGCCGGAACCCGAGACGCCCGAGACGCGTCGACAATCGGGGCGCGCGGGACACACCGGTTTTCAGAAATTCGATGCACCAGCGGATCGAACTCCCCCCCCCTCAGGGTCCCCCCCCCTGTGGTGGACCCCGAGTTTCGGGAGGAAGGGCAGGAGCGAGCATCGGGCGAGGGGGGCCGTTGGTCCGGCCCGCCGTCGCCTTTTTTTGGTGCTCGCGCAAGCCCGAGGACGTGCTGCTGGACAGCCTCTGCGCGGACCTAGGATGTGGCCGGCCGGCTCCCGCGGGCTTCGGGCGTGGCGGATGTAGTAGCGGCAGTGAGCAGCACCTCGCCTCGGGGGGGGGGACCTCCAAGAGTCCTGGTTTCCCAGATGGGGTCGGAGCAGAAGATGGGGTCGAAGGATCGCCCCGCACCGCCGATGTATCGGCGGCGCGGCTCGATGCGGGGCTCGACTTTCGCCGCGCCGATGGCGCTAATGCGTCGCCGATGCGGCGCGACCCTGCGACCCCATCTACTCGGACCCCGTGTAGGAGGCTTCTACGAATGCATCGGCGGTGGCCAGCCCCTCGCCTAGACCCGAAAAGCACCCAGAATGGCCTCCGAGAGGCTCCCCGGAGGCTCGTCGTCGGTCCACGAGGACCCCAATGTAACTTCGGCTGCTCCGCGAAACCCCCTGCCTGTCTCGGTGTGGTGCCCGAAGCACTGCGGGCCGGGCAACGGCGGCGAGCAACCCCTCGCTGCGGGGGGAGAGGATCAATTGTGAGAAGCCAGAGCATGGCTGCGCCATCTTGGTTCACATTGTTCATTTCCTTGCTTTCTCGTGTGCCACACGTCATGTCGATCATCCATTGCCAGCGCAGCCCAGCCAAGCTGACAAGCGACCGCCAGGTCGACCGAAGTCGGGCTCTAGCCGAAGCAAAGCCAGCAAGCCGGCGGTCTCATGGAATCTCCGAAGCCCTCCTGGAGCATCGTGGGCCCTCCTACCTGTGGCTTCTGAGTGCCGTCTCGGGCCCCCTGTGGGGTTCGTGGTGCCGCCTGAGGCCTCGCAGGGCCTCGTTGGGCCTCTTCCGTGGGGCATCCAGCCAAGCCGCCAAGCCAGCCGACGACCGCCAGTCTCGCCAAGCAGTCCAGTCAGAGGGGCGTCGTCCTGCCAAGCCGGCAGACGGTCAGCGCCGTCGTCCTCGTTGGGCTTCCCGTGTATCGTCGTCGCCATCGTGTCTCCGGAGCTCTCCGCAGGCCCCCCGCAGGCTTCTGGGGGCCTCCGAAGGCCCTCCGAAGTCCGTCGAAGGTCTTCGAGGAACAGCCGACCACGACGTGTTTAATTCAACCGCCGGCCCCGCGCACAGCCTCCGACCCATTCCTTACCAGGGGGGGAGGGCTCTTCGTGCCGGGTCCACTCTTGATGGCCTGGGCTCGGCAGGGACAGCGAGCACCAAGAGAGCACGCCGTCGTCAGGCGCCCGTCAGCGCGTTACTACTCCTCCGTGGCTGTCCGAAGGCCCCGCGCCCCACTCGCAGAGCACCTGCCCGAGGGGCTCTCGACGGCGGCTCGTCGCTGCTGCTGCGTCTGGTCCGCCACCCTCGGGGCCTCCTCCTCTTCCTCCTCCTCCTCCTCCTCCTCCTCCTCCTCCTCCTCATCCTATCCTCCTGTCCTCCTCCTCCTCCTCCTCCTCCTCCTCCTCCTCCTCTTCCTCCTCCTCCTCCTCCTCCTCCTCCTCCTGGGCTCCCGAAGTCGAGGAGGTCCTGGGTCGAGCAGTGGCGGAGCGTCCTGCCGTGCCGATCTGCCCACCGACGAGCAGCGTTCGACGAGCCGGTGGTGGTCTCGACGAGGTGTTCTCAGACCGTGTCCTGCTGGGTCGAGGGAGGACCCGGGTCGAGCAGCGGCGGAGCGACCTGCCGTGCCGATCTGCCCACCGACGAGCGGCGTTCTACGAGCCGGTGGTGGTCTCGACGAGGTGTCCTCAGACCGTTGTCCTGCTGGGACGGTCTTGGTTTCGCACATCGTGCTCCGGGGTTGTTGTTCTCGGAGCATGGTTGGACTGAGACCATGTCGTGGTAGGCCGACAGGAATGCCGGGACGGTCGGTGCTTGCTCAACCGGGGGACACTGAGATCCGACGGCGCGAACAGAACTGCAGCCTCGTGAACAGCCAGGATTGGAGCCCCAGGCCCCATCGTTTTCCCGCGGCACCTCGCAGCCGAGCTGGGTCGCTCCGCGAGGGCTCGGGAACCCGAAGCGATGCGGGAGCGCCCGGCCCGAAGGCATGGCGACCTCAGGATCGAGACGACCGGCATGAGACGCTATTGGTTTGGGACAACACTTGTTGCTGGACATTTTCTTTTTTTTGATCGTACCCATTCTGGATGTCCTCTTCCCCCTCGTTCTCTTCCTCCTCGTCCTCCTGCTCCTCGTCCTCGTCCTCGCCCGCGCCCTCCTCCTCCCCCTCCTTGCTTTTGCCCTCCGCGCGCGCGCGCATTTCGACACACCCCTCTCTCGCTTCGCGGCCCCATAGGGAGCTCCACCGAAGGCCTCGGCGGCCATGTTCGCAGGCGGCCGCCCCGCCCGTTTCGACACACCCCTTGCGCGCTTGGTGGCACCGTGCGGTCGGACCGAGGCATCAGGTCGAGGTCAGTTCGGGGAGGCTACCCTAAGGTTCTTCGTGTTCGTGGAGTGTTCTTGTGCATCCGTTGGGAGGGTACCATCGAATGTTCTTCCGTTTGACCGGCGGAGGTTCTCATGCTCTTGGAAGGCTGCTCTTCTGTCCAAGGTCCAGCCGTCGGGAAGGAACCTCAGGGAGCTGGAGGAGGAGGAGGAGGAGGAGGAGGAGGAGGGAGGAGGAGGAGAACGAGGAGGAGGGAGAGGAGTAGACAGAGAGGCGAGCTTGGATCCTTGCCGCGGGGAAGGCGCCTCAGGGAGCTCCCGGGGCCTTCGAGGGCCCTCGTCGGCGAGCCGGCCCGCCGCCGGCGGGGGGGGGCCTCTGGAGGGAGGGCCTCCGCCCGGGGGCCCTCCGCTCGAGTAGCGGCGAGGCGTCTCGGCTTGCTCCTCTCCGAGGCGGGGATTTCTGCACAGCCACAGCCTGGGGGATTGATCCTCGCGGACCTCCACAGGCGGTGGGTATGGATCTGTTCGGGCCCTCGGGGGCCAATACATATATATATATATATATATATATATATGTATCCATATCCATATCCATATCCATATCCACCGCCCGCCGGGGCACCAGGACGTTGGTTAACCAGGCGGTGGGTGTGGATGAATTCCCGCCTCGCGTTATCGGCCCACCGAAGAGTGTTCTTAGAGCCTTTTTTTAGTTTTCGCAAAAGGTTCTCATAACATTTCTGGCTCAGAGCGTCTTGCTTTAACACATCGGCGAGGTGGTAGTTTTTCGCACGACGTCGATCTCCAGAGATCTGGAACCCTTCCCTGGGGACCGGTTTCTCATCCCGAGCAATTTTCTTGCGACGGTCTCAAGGCCCGGCGAGGGCCTGTAGAGGCCGAAAATCCGAAAACATTCCGTCGCGATTCTCTCCCACAGCGCGAGGACGTCCAGAGGCCGAAAACTGGAAAGAACCTCGGGCCGCGACTGCTTCACGGCGCGAGGGGGTCTGGGTCCGGCGGGAGGGCCTCCGCCTGTCTAGGCCCCCTAGATGGGGTCGGAGTAGATGGGGTCGGAGGATCGCGCCGCATCGCCGATGCATCGCCGATGCGGCTCGATGCGGAGCCCGATGTGCTTCACGCCGACGGCTCCGATGCATCGCCCACGTCGACGATGCATCGCCGGTGCATCGGCGATGCGGCACCATCCCCCGACCCCATCTGCTCCGGCCCCCATCTGGGAGGCCTCTAGCCCGGGGGCCCTGCGCTTGGAGGGGCCGCCTCGCGCGGCGGGCCCGCCGCCCAGAGGCCGAGCACGGCCGGCGGGGACCCCAGACCACCCGCAGGAGTGAGCCCCGCCCGCGCCCGGGCGCCCTCGCCCGAGCGGGCGCGCGCCGGCGCCGCGCCCGAGGCCGCCTTGGAGGCGCGGCCGCCCGCCTCCGGCTCGAAGCCCAGGGATCCTCCTCGTCCTCCTCGTCCTCGTCCTCCTCCTCCTCCTCCTCCTCCTCCACCTATCCTCCTATCCTCCCATCCTCCTTCTCCTCCTCCTTCTCCTCCTCCTTTTCCTCCGCCTCCTCCTATCCTCCCCTTCCTCCTCCTCCATTCTCTACCTGGTGGTCGCGGTGAGGCTCGATCCTGCGGTTGTGGTCGCACCTGGGTGCGCTCTCCGATCTGCTCCGATATGCTCCTCCTCTTCCTCCTCTTCTTCCTCCTTCTCCTCCTCCTCCTCCTCCTCCTCCGCCTCCCCCTCCTCCTCCTCCTCCTCCTCCTCCTCCTCCTCCTCCTCCTCCATCACTTCCTCCTCCACCACCTCCTCCTCCTCCCTCTCCACCTCCTCCTCCTCCTTCTCCTCCTTCTCGGAAATACCGGGGGCGCGGGGGACTCAGAGATCCGCCGTTCCAACCAAAGTTGGTGCAGGCGGTTTTTGGCCGTTTTCGGCCTCTGGGAGGTGGCAAGAGTTCAGAGGAGGAACATGTACCCTTTGCCCGTTTTCCCTTTGTTCGGCCTTCCCTTGGAGGCCCTCGTCGCCACCGCTGGTTCGCCTCGCAAAATTCCTAATCAGAACGTACACCCTGGGACGGGTCTGGGGGTAGCGGTATCAGTACGTCTTGGCTGCCCCAGGAGCGGTCGCAGGAGCAAGATGGTGGCAGTAGCCTCTGAGAGCTCTTGGAGTCTGCACGACACGTTTCTTAGAACATTTAAGGTTGAGGCTATCTTGCTTTAACACATCGGGTTTATGCTATCAGAACATTACTTTTGGAACATCTTGGCGGCCACAGAGGGAACCAGGGCCCCGGAGGTACGCTCGGGCATCCTTCCCTACGTGCTCGGGGATTTTCAAACCGGCGGAGGTGGAAAGGAGACGGTGCTCGGCGAAGTATCTATTGGAGGGATTTGGAGGCATCAGGAGTGCGTTTGCTCGGAAAATGGCTTTAACCCTGCCAGGCAGTCCATGGGTGATCTAACGTGTGCCAGCGTGCCGATTACATGGACAGGGTCAGGTTCGGTGAATTCGCACCATGTTGGGGACCATTGCCATGTGTTGCAGTTCGAGCGTGCTTCACTGGAACAATACCACGAATGGGAGAGAGATCGATGGACGGCAGGAGGTTGGGAAAGAGATGATTGGTATCTAAACATGGATACCACCAGCACGAGTTCAATCATAAATATGTATGTGTATCCATGCATGTATATATATGCATAGACATACATGTATATACACATATGTATGCATATATAGTGGTACCGATTGTTTAATATATATAGAATTATATAAAAATACATACATATGTATATATATATATATATATATCGATGCACGCACACACATACATATATATATATATATATATATATATATATATACATACACATATATATATATATATATATATATATATATATGTATATCCCTGGGGGGCAGACCTGGGGCCCACAAACAGCTGCCCCGATGCCCCATGGGAGGACGGGGCGGCCGGGGAGGTTCAACATAATCCAGGAGGGCCTCCAGAGGCTCCCCAGACGACCCAAGCGGGCCCCGAGTCGCCGAAAGACCGCTCCAGGACGCCCAAGATATGCCCAAGACGGTCCGAGAGGCCCCCCAAGGCACTCCACGACGCTTCAAGACGCCTCTCCAGAGCGCTTCAAGAGGCCGAAATCCTCAACTTTCACGAAGGTTGTGGAGAGATTGTGGCATCGCCCCAAGAGCGCCTCCAGATGCCCATCCAAAGGGCCCCGCATTTTTGCGCTCTCGCATAAGAGGCCCACAGGAGGCCCCAAGAGTCCCCACGTGGTCCGACGAGGCCCCCCAAAGCCCCCCACAATGCCCCAAAAGGCTCACAGGAGACGTACACGGGGCCCCAAGATAGCCGAACAGTGCTCTCGATGCATCAAAATTGCTTCAAGGAGGCCCCCAGAGGCTTCCAGAATGCTCCAATGTGGCCTCAAGCCGGGCCTCCACGCAGCCAAGACGGCCAATTGACTGCTTCAGACTGCAGAACATCACTTTCCGACTGCCCGGAGAACCCTGACGATGCCCCCAAGGGACGCCAAGAAACCCCAAGATGCCCCCCCGAGAAGCACCCAAGAGGTACCTCCAACAGCCAATTGAGGAAGCACGGACAACACCCCAGAAGCCCTTCAGATGCCCCCACGAAAACCCAAGAGGTTCCCAAGAGGCCCTCAGGAGGCACGAGTAAGTCACGCGCCTATGCTTGATAGCGCTGTCCAAGATCTTCTAGCGCGCCCCTGGCCTGGGCTAGAACCTGAGCGCGCGCGAAGCGTGCGCGATTGTTCTAGTGTCGGTATATATATATATATATATACATATATATCGGTATATATATATATATATATATTCACGTGACTATGTCGCTGTACGTATACATACATATATAGATATACATGTGTTAAACATTATGAGTTAGCCCTCGTGGGCCTCAAACAGTGTGTGTTCTAGCAACACAGATGGGGCGATGCATGCAGAGTAATTTGTGTGGTCAATATGTGTGGAACAGCCGGCGTGGCGAAGTCTATGTGGGACTTGATATGTTGTGCGAAATAGGTGGCGCAACCTGTGTGGTAGGAGATAACGTACTCATCGATGTGGTGTGAGCTATGCGGTGTAAGCTATGTGACCCAGTGCATATGGTGAGAGATAACGTATTCACGTGTGTGTCGCGAGCTATTTGGTGGAAGCTACGTGAAGCAATGGTTTTCTGCTTGCAGTGAGTTGTCAACTCCAGCGCTCGCGCAACCATCCCACCCACCCACCCACCCGCAACTTCGTCAGCGTAAGCCTATGCGGCGGCGATTGCGATGAGTGTTTGGTGTTGGCTGGTGCATCTCTGCGGTCGCTCTAGCCTGCGCGTGCTCGCGCGCGCAGCGCTCAGCTAATTTGGCGCGACCGACGCGGCCGCGGTGGTGCATATCTCTGGGCACTTCCAAGCGGGCACTGCAGTGCCAGCCGGCGACTAGGGCGGGCGCGGTATCATGGCAACGTCGACGTGGGTATACACGAGGATGGTAGTAGCGATGCTGGCGACAAAGATGACAACGACGACGGCGAGGCCAATGACGGCGCCGATGTTGATCACGCCGACGACGATGACGGCGTCCTCGCATTGTTGATGAAAGTTTTAGAAGGCTTTCGACATGCGCGCACGGCCGACGCCTGTCAGTGGCACGCATGGTTTTATTTGGCACGTGTCGTGCCTTCCCAGCAGGCGCGCAAAAGGGCGTTCGAATGAATCCGCCATGCCGCGCGAGAGGCCCGCTTGGCAGATGTTGATCTACATTTTGAAATATGTAGTGCTAATAGTATGCACGACCGAGGGCGCAGTGTTTTTTGTAGAAAAACCGGCGTTGTACTTCCATGTTATGTATTAAACAATGTTTTTGGCACGCTCGATTTTTGAATTCCGGGCGACCCCCCCAAGACAAAATAAGGTGTTTGAAGGATTTTGGCGTGCGCGCGCGACGACGCGCGCGTGTTCCCATCGTCCCAGTTGTTTGTTGTTGCTGCACGGGGCTCTTGAGACAGCACGCGCGCACGGGCGCGCGCGCACGCGACAAAAACGGGAACAATGAGGACCGGATTGTAGCGACAAAGAGAAACAGAACAATGACAAGGAGGAGGAGGAGGAGGAGGGAAAAGAGGAAGAGGAGGAGGAGGAGGAGGAGGAACTATGATAGGAACAGGAACAGGGGGAGTACGAACAGGAGGAGGAAGAAGAGGAAAAGGAGGAAGAGGAGGAGGTGGAGGAGGGGGAGGAGGACGAAAAGAAGGAGGAGGAAGGAAGAGGCAGGAGGGAGGACGGGGAAGGACGAGGACGAAGACGAAACCGAAGACGAGGACGAGGAGGAGGAACGAGAAGATGCAGGGCGAGGGTGATCCCCGTCGGCCGCGTCGAGGTCAGCGCCGCGCCGCACCGACAGAGCACGGTTCCCTGCACCCCCCGCGCTTTTGACCCCCAGGCGGCGGCGGCGGCGGCGGCTGCGGCGTCCGCTCCGCCGGTGCCAGCTGCCACGCCCGAGCCCGTCGCCGAGGAGCAGGAGGCCGCTGCCCTCTCTCGGTTGAAAAAAATGCATGAACATGATACTTCGGGCGTTCCGCGCGGCCGTCCTCTGTCGATCGAAAAGGAGAAAAACGCCATTCCCACAAATTGTTGTCGCTTCGCACGGATTTCTGGGATCTGCGCCTGGCCCCCCCCCCCCCCCCGGCGTCGCCTCCGGCGCCGCCTTTGGCGCACGGAGCGCGGATCCCAGATATTTGCGCGCAGTGCCGAAAGTTTATGTTTATGCCGTTTTTTCTGTTAAGGAGGCCGCCGCCACCCTCTCTCGAGGCGTTCGTCGACGCCGTCGCTTACGATTGCCGCAGAGCCGCCCAGGCATGCTCTCGTCGTAGGGAAAGCACGACGGGAGGTTTTGGGTCATTTTCGGTTTCCAGGGGCTCTCGCAGGGCCCTGGAACTGTCAAAAAACTGCTCGTGATGAAACCCGTCCTGGGGAAAGGGTCGGGACTTCCGGGGACACCACACGGACAAAATCAGGACATCCCATGTCTGGCCGCATCGGCTGCAACTGGAACCGAACACACAACAACGAAAGCGCGCCACTGGATGACCTTGTAATTGAAAAGGGGGGGATGCTCGCAGAATCCCCCCCCCCTTCAAAGGGGGGGTGAGATTTTCGCCCCCCCCCCTCCCCCCTTTGAGGGGGGGGATCCGACCCCCCCCCCCCCTCCCCCCACTTGCGCCGAACAGGAGGCCAGGGAGGGGGGGAGGGGACTTCTCCCGCTTTTCTTTTCTGCGCCGGAGAAGGTGGGTAGGGAGTAAGGAGTAGGGAGAGTGTGTAGTGACTAGTGAGTAGTGAGTAGTAAATGGGGAGTCATGAGTAGTAGGTAGTGAGTAGCGAGTAGGGCATCCGGAGTCGGGAGTGGGGAGTAGTGGGTCGTGAATAGTGATCGCTGAGTACTGAATTGCGAAGCGCTGAGTACTGAGTGGGGAGTACTGATCAGTGAGTAGCGAGTAGCGAGTAGTGAGTAGAGAGTAGTGAGTAGTGAGTAATGAGTAGTGACTAGAGAGTAAGTAGTGCTGAGTAGTGAGTAATGAGTAGTGAGTAGTGCGTAGTGAGTAGTGAGTAGTGAGTAGTGAGTAGTGGGTAGTGGGCAGTGAGTAGCGAGTAGCGAATAGTGAGTAGCACGTAGTGACTAGTGAGTAGCCAGTACGGCGTCGTCAGTAGAGAGTAGTGAGGAAGGAGCAGTCAGTAGTAAGTAGTGAGTAGGTAAGTGGTGAGTAGGGAGAGGTCAGTAGCGTGTAGGGAGTAGCGAGTAGTGAGTAGTGAGTAGGGAGTATTGAGTGGGGAGTAGTGAGCAGTGAGCAGTGAGAAGGGAGGAGTGGGTACCTAGTAGTGGGTAGTGAGTTGTGAGCAGCAAGTAGAAAGTACTGAATGGTGGCTGGTGAATAGTGAGTGGCGAGTGGTGAGTAGTGCGTAGAGAGTAGTGAATAGTGAGTAGTGAGTAGTGACTACTCACTAGCGACTAGCGCGTAGGGGGTAGGAAGTAGTGAGTAGTGAGAAGTGCGTAGTGAGTAGTGGGTAGTGGGTAGTGGATACTGCGTAGTGAGTAGCGAG